CTGTGAGTTGAAGTCTGGTAGCAACAAGCTTGGCTTTAATTATTTTAGAAAAAATCTTTAAAATTCCTTCCTTTTCCTGAGGAGACTGGTGAGGCCTTGCCTCCCCTGCCTCTAGTGAGTGCACGTCCCTGTATACGAGTATAAACATGATTATAAATACATGAAAAGGATACAAATAAAAGGAAACATTAATATAAGGATGGTAGCAAAGATGGATTCCTACCGGTTCGGACCAGTTCGGACCGTTTCGGACAAGTAGGTAGTAACTCAGCTACACCTCATCCCCAAACTGGTTCTATTTTGTTTGTTTGCTTCGCACATGCGCAGAAGCAATTTTTCACACGTCAAGCGTTCGTATGCCCGAAGCCCGCACATGCCCGAAGCGTGTCCCTGAGCAAACTGGCGGTAAAAGAATCTGGAACCCACCCCTGGACGGTAGGCATGTTGGTGCGGTGCGCTTATGCACGTCCCTTACAAACCTCTTAGGAATGAGGTGAGGTTGACGGTAGACAGTCTAAGGTTAAAGTTTTGGGGATTTGGGGAAGAAACCACAGAGTCAGGTAACCAATAACTAGGAAGAGATAAAATGTTTGATTTCAGGAATAGAACCAGCCAATTATTGAATTCTTGGGAGCATTTTACTTTCTACACAACTACCCGAGGTTAAATATTTATCCCTAGTCAAGCTTCATGGTCATGTGGGGGCCATCTCACAGTAATTTCCTCTATTTCCTTTATAAAATATTGACTAACATAAAATCATATATTTGGGAAAGGCCATTGAAGCCAACTTTCTGCCCAGTCCATGAATTTGATCATAACCAGTTATGAGAAAGCCTGACATTTCTCTAAGCCAGGGGTCTCAAACTGGGAGCCCAAGGGCTGGATGCATCATGTGCAGGCCACGCCCACCCCAGTTCCATGAAGGGGGAAAAAAACAGAGGTGGTATTCAGCAGGTTCTGACCAGTTCTGGAGAACCTGTAGCGGAAATTTTGAGTAGTTCAGAAAACCGGTAAATACCACCTCTGACTGGCCCCGCCCCATCTATTCTCTGCCTCCCGAGTCCCAGCTGATCGGGAGGGAATGGGGATTTTGCAATAACCTTCCCCTGGAGTGGGGAGGGAATGGAGATTTTACAGTATCCTTCCCCTGCCACACCCACCAAGCCACACCCACAGAACCACTGGTAAACATTTTTGAATCTTACCACTGGACAAAACGTCACGATACATCACATGATGGCAATGTGACATTGCAAGTTTGACACCTGTGCTCTAAGCAGTTGGTTCTATTGTTAAAAACCAATCTTCCTATTTAAATATTTCCAGCTGGATCTGCTTTTCTACATTATTATTTGGCTTGAACTCTCTGTGTTATAGAATTAACTCATGGCCTTTTTCTATTATTCAACTATGTATGTCTTCCTGAGGCTACATAAACCCTGTTCCCCCAGTCTTTCATTTTGAAACCTATTTTCTGGTCTGATAATCATTTGTTGCCTTATATGGAATCTGGATGTATTACTACATTCAATATCCATAAGGTGCTGTTTTAAATTATGGGGTCCTGTAGCGTTGATTTTTCTTTTACTTAAGATCAGATGATCCTTGATGAATTTCCAACTCCACAATTTGTGGTTCTATGATATTTTCTTGTAGGTTAATTGAAACTCAGTAGGAGGTCCACAAGAAATTATCTTGACATGGAATCTTGCCTATATTACAAGTTCAATCAGCAATCTCTCATGTATCTTAACCAGCTGTGAGCTCGGATAAACCAACTCGGTTCATTTCTAGAAAATATGTCCAATACTAACTTGAAGAAATAATTGCTGATTTCAACTCCTGTAATAAGGGAAAGCCCAGTCCAGGGATGGGCTGCTGGGGGTTTGCACCAGAGGTCGCATTCAGCAGGTTCTGACCAGTTCTGGAGAACTGATAGCAGAAATTTTGAGTAGTTCGGAGAACCGGTAAATACCATCTCTGACTGGCCCTGCCCCCATCTATTCTCTGCTTCCCGAGTCCCAGCTGATCGGGAGGAAATGGGGATTTTGGATTGGGGAGGGAATGGAGATTTTACAGTATCCTTCCCCTGCCACGCCCACCATGCCACACCCACCATGCCACACCACGCCCACCAAGCCACAGAACTGGTAGTAAAAATTTTTGAATCCCACTACTGCTTCGCAAGGGTTCAGGAGAATCTCTAGTTAAGATTCTGTGCAGTTCAGAGAACCCCAAATCCCACTGCTGGCTGGCCCTATGTCATAATGTGATGTTAAAATATTCATAACTGGGAGAGACATGGGAACAAGGAGCCAATAAATAGGCATAGCAACTAAATCAGTCCCCCTGGGAATAGGGCAGCATACAAGTCTAATAAACTAACTAACTAACTAAATCAGCCAATGGGAGCTTAAACATAGC